AGATGGACAATATGACTGCTCTGCAAAACAAAATAAGACTTAAATATTAAAAAATTTGGACAATTTGAAACCAAAAAGTGTTCCAATACTCTCCAGATTGAACAATAAATGAGGAAATATCATCATGTGGCAACAGAAATCAGTTTTTAGAGCGTGTATTCCGTGACAATGTTGTGGGCAGTGTTGTCTGAGTGTGTTATCGTGAATTAAACCTTAGTAATCACACAGTAATTACCCACACCTGCAGCGACCAGTTGGCTTCGCCAGGGAACAGAGCGATGATGGAAGACGGAGCCGAGGCTGAGCATGAGGAGTGGAAGTGCACCTAGTCTGGAAACAGTCTTTAATGGGAGTAACTGCAACGCCACCACTGCTGTATTCACGAGCCCAGGATTGTTGAAGGTCATTGCTGACACTGTTGCTGCCAACGAAATGCAATAAGTTTCGAGGTGTGAGACAGGTGGCAGTATAATAAAAGTGGGATTTGGAAATTGCTTTTTCCTTTATACTGTTTGGCTCTGAGCTTACCATCTGTTTTAATGGAGCTGCTGCTTGACTGCTGGTTATTTTAAGGAGTGTGGAATTTTCTGGACTCTGTGATGAATTATATGCCACTCTGACACGCTCGGTTTCCTATAGTGTGACTTCAATTAGTATCTTATGAAAGTATAGGCAGTGTTACAGTCACATTTCAGTGTATTTCTGGCTGTTTTTAGAGGTAATAGTGACATGTATAGAGTAGTTATGACCGTCAGCACAACTTAAATGATTTCTTTCTTTTTATATATAAACAAATTCAGAAAACTTTGTCTGCCTGTCCCTCTATTTTCTCATCCTGTTAACTTCAAACTGATTTGTTGCATCGAACTGTGGCGAATGTAGTTGTGAGAGATGGTGAAGAGGTGCAGAACTAATCTTTGCAAAATAGAGCTCCATGAGTACAGATTACTTTCTTTAAACCTAATGTTCTCAAGTTTGACTCTTCATGACTTGTTTCTTATTTAATGAGAAAAGCTTATAATGTGAACTGATCCCATTATAAAAAATGACGCATTACGTCTGCTTTGAGGGGGACCTCTTCCTTAGACCTCTCCCTAAACTTAGGTAACATCACTGTGTAAGATATTATAATGTACATTTCTTATATTGTTAATGACTTTGAGTAAGAAAGACTGAATGAGCTATGTTTTCTCAAGTTTTAATAAGGCCAGTAGTAAAGGAAAATGTTGATTTAGCGATTATCATTATTTCACTTAGCACTTGGGTCTATGGGAGCTCCAATAATGGGACAGAAAAGCAGATGTCAACAAAACAAAAGAGGTTCAAAATTTTTACATAAGAATCACATTTTCATTGTAACAGTTTGCTCAGTAAGTCCCTGCCTTCGCCCAAAGGGCTAATTATTTCATAACTGGCCTATTGAGGAACTTTTAGAGAACTTCTAAGAATAGGAAATATAATGCTTAGGACTTAGAAGTTGTCTGTATTCAAAAGCTCCGGGTGTTGTAAGTTTTAAAAGCCCGACCCTGTAGCCTCCCAGCCCCCAGTCTCCCTGGAGGATCAGAGGCATCACACTGTGCCGCATGTTACTAAAAATAAAACCATATCCCCCAGCTTACAGGGTCACTGATGACAAAGCACTATAAACCCCCTTTGCATAACAATTTATCACTCCTTGAGCAAGATATAATCTTGGTGAAAGGAAACGGCGGAGGTATTGTGTTGACTCATCACCTGCACACCTGCTTATTCAAACCTGGTTTGGCTTCACAGCTTCCACAACGATCGCCCACTGATTACTTTCCTCATTTCAACTGATGAGTTTTTATCCCTGTCGATCATCCTCATCGCTGCTAAGGAGAGAGCTGAGCGTCATGTATTATCCTAAGCAAGTGTTGTCCCTGCACACAGTGAGTCCCTCAGGTCCGAGGAGCTAGATATTGCTCCTTTCTGACCACCTCACGGTACAGTAATGTGCTGTGACACTGCAGGCAGTGCCTGTCAAAACAGTGGGCCCTGTTCCACGGCTGACCAATTGTTCTGAAGGGTGCTGGACTGGATCAGTAGATACTAAAGTCTCTGTTTTCTAGAAGCAATCGAATACGACCAGTGAAGTCACTTATCTCTGCTCCCAATTTCTCTGTATGCAACATTTGCGTGCCTCATAGATGCACTGTATGAATATGTGTGTGTAATAAAACTGTAAAGCGGTTTGAGTGGTCAAGACCATTTACATCAGTGCATCACAGCGGCCAGCACCGCGGCTCACACGAAGCACAACCGCCCAAAATACACTCACAGCACAGCACACAGGACAAACCTGGTTAAGATTAGACTATCTTTCAATTTGTCTTGTGGTGATTGGGTTATCATTAGCATAAATCAAAACGAGCACAAAAACACGAGATACTATCAAATTATTGCTAGATAAGAGAAAATTAAATCCACTACAGCACCTGCAGGCTTTAATGGGGCCACAGTCCACAGGAACGACAAACACAGAATTAACAGAAGCAGTGAAAAACACACAACTGATTTTTGCATGCTCAGTCTAAACCTGAGAGATGTTTGAAAGGTAGATGCTCATTTAGAAATAAAATCAAAATCACTGCAGTGAAAACAAGAAAAACAGCGAGGAGACTGGATTATTATGCTTCACAGCTTTTTATGAATGTAAAAACACTCAGACAGTTAGGAGAAGACGACAAAAGAGCACACATCTGTGTGAGAGGCTCTTGATAGCTGACGATATTCGCGTGGCTGCTTTCTGTTTTATTTACAGGCACCAGCCCCAGCACTATATGTGGTGCTGTCAAACACTCAGGGAGCGTCTCACAGTGGCAGTTCAGACCATCATCTAATATCACACCCACTGTGTGTGACATGCAGTTTCTGTAAACAACTAAAACTCAAGGCCTTGTCATCCTATTTTTCTTTCTGCATTAAAGCCACACTGCACATCTGTCCCTGTTTCCACATCTACACTCGGCCACTACTCGGCCACTGCTCAGCATCGTGGGCAGATACAGACTCTGAGAACTCAGTGTGCCTGCTGTTGATCAACACATTGTGTAATAACACTGTAGTGTGGGCCGGCCCCACGTGACAAGCAGATGGGCCTGATCTCTCCATTCTGGTCTGACATTTCAGACACTAGTAGCCTGCAACCACGAGTCTAGTAGCTGACATGCAAACACACACACAAAAACATGTACACAGGTGCACCGAAGAAAAACAGGAGGAACAAAAAGAGAGGAGGATGAGAGCCCTACATCCCTCCTCCGTGTCCTCCACTCCACCTCCAAACCCTGAAATCACAGAGCAGACATCGCCTCTCCCTCACCCTCTCAGATACTCCACCCTTCATTTCCACCAGTACTATAACCATCATCAAAACGATCATCATTATTATTGTTATTACATTTTCAAAAAGTGCAGATAGAACTTCCCCTCATTTAGAAGGCAGGGCAGTAAAAGATGTTGGGGAAACAATGGCAGTATAAGAAGAGCAAGAAGAGCGCAAGATGAGAAAGAGAAAAGAGAAGAAGATTTATGCCGAGTCAGAATTATGTTGCTCCTGTGAACACACACACCCACACACACCCACACACACATGCACACACGCAGTAAGGCAGCCACACAGGTCAAAACTGCTGGAGTTTGACCCCCGTCAGCACAAAACCAGAGCACAGGGCAGCACAAAGAATCATAGCATCAATAAACAGACAGAAGTGAGCACACATGTGCACCAACAGCACAAACTCTGCTTTTTGCTTCTGTTTCGATCTAAACATTGGAAGAAGATTTTAAATTGGTTTCCTCAGTTGGTGATGCTGTGAAAAATGACATCATCGTATCTTGGTTACTTTTTATTTGTTCTTCATCTTCTTTTTTCTCTCTCCATGTCAGGCCATTTTGTCTGGAAAAATCAGGAGCGATTCATTTCACAAGTTTGTTGTGTTCCCGCTTTCCAAACATCGGAAAGTTCAGTTTAGTTAAGTATTTTCTTTTTTTAATCTCTATTTTGTTGGAGCTACGGCACAGCACCCACAGCACACGGACGACGAGGGGGTGGGGGTCCAAAAAGGGGGCGAGGAGGGGTTCACTAATATTGTGCCAGAGAAAGAGGGAACAATAAGGGGGAAAAAAGAAGAAGCTTATAGAGAAGAAAAAGGGGGAGGGAGGGAGAGATAGAGAGAGCAGTATCAACAATTCCATCCGAGTTCAGCTGGTTTCATCACAAACTGAGTATTGATTGCTTCTGACAACTTCAGCTGAACATTAAACCACTTTTGAGTAAAAGGAGGGAGGACTGAAATGGAGGACAGGATATAGTTCACTTGAGACAGATGACAAGAACGAGGCGACAAATGAAAATAGGGGAGGGATGACAACCTGCAGACAGGCTATGTATAACATACTGTATACTACTCATGTGTATAGGGGGGTTCTGCCAATCTATAACGCCATTTATATTAGTATGTATATGTATATATGTGTACCTGGAATAGTCAATACAATAAGATTATATGAGATTAGGTTTTATAAGATTCTCTGTGATCCCACGGGACTGGCACCTTGAATTAGTCAGGGGGCTGCAGTGCAGTTCAGAACCAAGGGGTCGACAAAGAAACGGAACATCGGAGACCTCCGCAGGCAAAGTGCATGTGGACAGACAGACATACAGACAGTCAGAAACAGGGGGACCATCGGCGAAAAGGGTGAGAGGCTTAAATCAAAGACACGGCCGTATATGAGAGGAAGGAACAAATGAAAAGAGAGAGAGAGAGAATTGTCGGAGAGGAATAGAGATTTTGAAAGCAAAGAGTTTAAAGGTTTAAGAGAGCAGATGGCTAATTGTACCCGTGTTTCGCAGCCTGGCAGCAAGTCAGTCTTGTGCATAAGGACGGGAGTGGGAGGAGGAGGGGGAGGGAGGCAGGAGGGAGGGGGGAGGAGGAGGAGGGGGCGGCAGGAGATGGGAGGGGAGTCCATGGTGAAAGCTGGGCGGCGCGATCAGGCCTTGAGAGCGTGCCACTGGGCAACGTTAGTACGCGGCCGAGCGAGCATGTCTTTCCAGTGCTTCACCTCCGCCGGTCCACTCTTCCATGATAGGTAGATCTAAGAGAGAGGAGGAAGGGATCGTTTAAAGTACAGAACATTATTGGCTTCATTAAAACTTTTGGCCCAGTAAGTCGTCTCCCCCGGCAGCCTTGACACGGTGTCAGTGGCAACTGTGACAGTCCACAAAATGTCCACTAAAAGTGCTTTTTTTATCAATGACTCAAATTGTTATTTTGGACATTCAACATAACGCTCAAATGAGAAATCTCACTCCTGACCATGCAGCGACTCGTCATCCCTCTGCTTGTTGCCTCTTTCTCCTAATTCCTTCTTCAATTTGTAGGAAGTTCTCGTCCGCATGCTCTGGCTCAAACAAGTAGGCCATCAAAGTCAAATGCTTCATCAAAACTGTCCACATCAGAAATAGTTTCTTTCAATGCAAAGTCCTCTGTCCAACTCTCACTCTCATTCTTGTTACCACCTCAGTACAACAACTCAAGTCTTATGAGACTGGTTATTTAGCTTAGTGTAGTGACTGTTTTTATCCTTAATGCTCGTCAGAGATGATGATCGATTGATATTTTTATTACAGTGGTCTGTGAGGCCAGTAGGGCATGTATCTACTCTCTCTGCATGTTTAACCTTGCTGCTGCAGCCTCTGTGTCAATTTCACAGCATTTATCTCATGTTTGAAATGTGACGGAAAGGTTGCTAGTTCCTCTATGTGACAGAGTCATACATCATCAACTGCTAACACACTTATGTAATGAGGAGCAGAAGGTGTTTACAGTATATGTTGTAACCAGGGCCAACGAGACAAAGTGTTACCTTGCCAATAACGTCGTTGCGGCTGAGCCTGTCCTTGTCCATGACGGTGATGATGATGGTGGTCTCCCTCAGCACATGGGCGGGCACTTCGAAGGGGAAAGACTCGTTGAATATGGGGTTCAGACAGCGCTTCATTGTCACCGTCTTCTTCTTCTCTACACGCTTGTCCTTGTGCATCAGCCACACCTTCACATATGGATCTGCAGTGTGGACGCAGGGGGCAGTGGTTTACATGAGAGGGCAGGTGAAGGAGACCGTGGAAGGTGATTTTTGGGGTCAGGTTTGCAATTACCCTATTAATTGGTAAAGTCAGAGAAGGCAGCAGGGAAGCAGATACCTAGTTTGAGCTCAAGGTCAATTTATCCCCTGAGCAAGGAAACATACAAATGAGGAAGTATTTATGGAAATAGGGCCTGGGATTTGCACTACTAATTCTGGAGCATTATCATACTCTGTAATACAAACAGATCCTGCTCATACTGTGGGTGAAGCAGTCATTTTATAAAGGAAAAAATATGCCATGAAAAGCATTTCACAGAAAGAGCTGATACTAGCACCAGACCTGGCTGACACAGATTTGGCTGGGAGGCTGAAGATCCTCATAGATATACAGAAGAGACAGAACGGGGTAGAGCAAGGCCAAGGGACAGACACTTGATGTAATGTCACCTTGCTGCTGCAGCTATCTGAGGTGCGACTCAGCTTAGGAGCCAGACGGCAACCGTCATCTGCACAGACAGGTCAGTGAATGTTTGAACACAAAGCTGGCCGGAGCTGTGTGTGTGTGTCAGTGTGTGTTTGTATGTGAGGACACACAGACCAATGTCGTGAGAAGGGCTTCGGACTAGAGAACAAGGGTTAGAAAGAGAAAAGGCTAAACAAACATGGAGGAGACTCTACCTGAGGTGCCACCGATATCCATGGCTTTGAGATTGCGAGCTTTGATGATGTTCACAGTGATGGTGTTGGCAGTGGGATTATAACAGAGTGACAGCAGCAGGTCTCCTCGTCTCCCCTGAGGAACACACACACACACACACACACACACACACACACACACACACAC